GCCATGGCATCGCTTCAGCAGGGCTGAGTCATCAACTGGGATGGAAGGGCAGGTTCCCAGTTTCCTCTTCCCTTTAGGGGTAAGGGGACCCTGCTCCCCAAATCCAACCCCCCTGTTCCCACCACTTCCCCACAAGCAGCTTCTCCACCTTCCAGGGCCTTGACAAAAAAAAAAATAAAAATCCAAAAATAATTTAAATGACCCACAGCCCATTCAGTCTGCTCTTTTGTTTCTCCTCTCTTTGTTAATTCACAATTATCCTCCACCAGCTTCAGAAGGGATGACACAGAGTAAGTCACCAAGCAGAGCTCAGCTCTACATGGAGCCCATCATCTTCCAGGCTTCGGCAGAGCAGCTGGGAGCAGACTTGGGTGTGTGGTCCCACTTTGGGGTACAGCTCCCCACCACCCCTGGAGCATGGAGAGGAATCGAGGACTTTTCTGACAAACCACCAGCTCACCATCTGTCCTTTGGGATGCACATTCCCATTCACCGGAGCTGAAACTCACAAAGAGTTTTAGCACAAGGGAAGCAAACTGATTTCAAAGTCTAAAAAAAAAATAGTAAATAAATAGATAGTATTGTTGGAAAAAACAAAAAAACCTACAGCAGCATCGTCCCTGGCCTCCTGCAAAGCCTCTTGCTACTGGTGCAACTCACCTCACCAGCCCCTGCTGTCCCCAACTGGCTTCTTCTCAGCTCTGGCTTCTCCCTTGGTAGAACTTCTCACAGGAGAACCCAGCACCAAACCACCCTTGTTTCTCCTATATCTCAATTTCTCTGCACAACACTGAGCATCCTTTAACCCCGGGCACTGGCAGGAGGACCGGGTTGGACACAGACACCCAGGCTGAGCAGGGAGCCCTTTCCCTCTTGGAAAACCCTGGGAAAGCCTGCCACACACGAGGGCTGAGCCTCGCGGGCAACATCCCTTCACAAAGGCATTTCCACACCAACAATGAAACTCTCTGCACAAGCACTGGTGTGACTCCTGATTGAAGCGAGGAGTAACCAGCAGGCGTGTAGGGACACATGAGAGAGGCTCTAGTGATGAGTGGCTCCATTTGAGGAGAAACAGCTATCATTAAGGGCTTGGCACTGACTGCTGCAGGCATAGTCTTCCTTAAGTACCTTCACTGGAGACACCCAGCCGGTGTGGGACCGCTACACGGTGGCTGGGGACTTTGCTCCCAGGTGGTGGTGAGCTGCACCCATCACTGCTCCTACAGCCTAATGACTCATCCCTATTTGTCATTGCTCCAAGGAAACCCCATGCCCCAACGTTTCTGCACTCTCTAGAGGATGGACAAGCTGCTCCAGAGCTGTGGTGGCCACAAGCAATGGTCCAAGTCAGCATGGAGACCTCCAGAAGGTTCCCAAGCGGCTACACCACCTTTTATCCTCCTACCTGCGGTCAACACTTCCCCTCCTGTGTGGTCCTTAGGACCTCCAGAATATAATGCCACCACTAATGAGAACTCTGGTCGCTACTTGGAGGAGGTTTTTTAACCTGTGCAAGGGGAGTGCAGAGGAACGGGGCTATTTTGTGGCTTCTAAGAGAAGGTCCTCCCCAGGGAAGGTGAGGGATGGCCCGGTGGGATTTAGAGGAAGGCAGGGAACCCCAAAGCCTGTGGCCACCATCTGCTCCAGCACGTCCCCACCGTACTGAACCAGTTCCCGCGGCGGCGCAGCCCTCTACAAGCCTGGCAAGTCTAACGGGTACAGCAGCTTCTTGGCATGTGGTGGAGGTGCCAAGTCTGAGGGGAAGGGGAAAAAAAAAAAAATTTACTACAAATGTTCTACCAATTATGAGTCACGGGGCTGAGCTTTTGTTTCTGCCTTGCTGGATTTTGCCCTTTCCCTGGTATTTCCCCAGCTCCAGCCGGGGGAACCGAGCGGACGCAGACGCTGGCCAAGGCTCTGCCGGCACCCGAGGGACGGACATGATCCGGCCAGGGAAACGACCTTGGCTCAAAATACAACTCCCAAAACAGCAGGTTTTCGTCACCTCCACTCCCCAAACGCGCACAGCCGCAGAAATAAATCTGAGGGAAAGATGGAGCCCCTCTCTGTACTGCCACAAGCCTGAACGTGGCACTGCTTGAGCTCAGAAGATGGAAACTTCAGGATCAAACACCTCCAAGTGCCTTTTCCCTCCTACTCAAGATCTTCCTGGGCTTCTGCACCTCACCGAGAAACCAGGAGCATCCCCAGCCTGAGGGAAATGCTGTGGCTGACACTGATCCTGGGGACACACAGCTCCATTTCATCACCCAGCCGCTATGAACCTCAGATGAAGAGGGCTCTGGGGCACCATCCACCGATCCAGCTCAGGACACAGAAGGTCCCATCTGCACAAACTATCCACAACCTGTGCTTCCAGTTAGTACCGACTATTACTCTGAATTTTGTAGTGACCCTGCTAGTTCATTGAAGGCTTTTTCCTATTTTTTTAAGAGCAGTATTACAGCCATGAAAAGGTCTACTTCAAAAAGAGGGGTTAGTTTTGTTCAGGGGGTTTTTTGGGTTAAATTTATACATATGACAGAGATGATCTTTTGACTTCATGCTAAAACTTCCTGTTTAGAAGTTCATCAAGTAAACGACTAACAGCAGAAGAATGGTTCTCTTTGTTATCCTAAATTGAATTTTGTGGTTTTCATAGGAAAAGCCTTTTTGATGATCAAAGCCGAAGCAATAAATAGTAGTGGCTTGATGCTAGATCCAAAACGTACTTATTTTTGGAACGGGAGTTAAATGCACATTGAACTCCTTCGGTACACACAAGAAAAGGCAGGGAGGACCACGTGCTTTGTGTATCATTTACACAGGCCTATGTTTCAAGCAGACCTATTAAATAAGTTGAAACGGAGAATAAACAAACTGAAATACAGCAGATAGACTAGAGTCTTAAGTGGGTTTTCTTCCTTTCACTTCCCCGTGATGACAAGTATGGGTTAACTTCAGTGAAGCTCTTATCCTCTTTCAGCAATCGTGAGCACTGGGGAAAAATAAAGCAGGCAGCCCCAGACTCTTATTAAAAGTTACACCATTGGAAACTACACAGGGGGAGAGGAGGTATCTGATTTCAGTACAATCTCAGTCACATGTTATCATTATATTGTTCAAGTAAAAGTTAAAATCTCTCTTCCATTCCACAAAATCCACCAGATGTCCCATAAAGGTCTCAGCTGCAAGAGAAGCTAAACCATTACATCCTCAGGAACCCTGGTTTTCAAACTTGGCTGCTATAATTAATGGCAATTATCAAGTTACAATAAAAGCCATGGACATGGGGAGCTTTACGGACGCGTATCCAGCCCAAGGAATGTTTGTTAGGAATTGCAAACACATATTTATTATAACATAACCCCGAACGATCCAACTCCTGGCTATCAACTGTTCCCCTGCTCTGGACCCTTGGCAGCACAGCAGAAGCGGCGCGGGGCCGGCACGTTGGATCCGGCACATGGCACCACCACGGCACAACCTGGACCTTAAAGGAGAAGGGAAGAACCCCGGAGGGAAACGCACCGCCGTGCCACGACACCGGGCTGGCCAGGCTGATCAAGTGCCCTTTGAAGGGCTACGGAGTCGGGATGGGCTTAAGCATCCCAAGGAAGCCACAGGTCTCACCAAACTGGCCACAGACCGAGACTGATGGACCCCAAGGGTCTCCTCCACCACTGTCACAGAATCACAGAATGGTTAGAGTTGGAAGGGACCTTAAAGATCATCCAGTTCCAATCCCCTGCCCTGCGCAGGGCCACCTCCCACCAGACCAGGTTGCTCCAAGCCCCCTCCAACCTGCCCTTGAACCCCTCCAGGGATGGGGCAGCCACAGCTTCTCTGAGCAACCTGGGCCAGGGTCTCACCACCCTCACACCAAAGAATTTCTTTTTGGTATCTAATCTAAATCTCCCCTCTTCCAATTTAAAACCATTACTCCTTGTCCTGTCACTGCACCTCCTGACAAAGAGTCCCTCTCCAGCTCTCCCAGAGTCTCCCTTCAGATATTGGAAGGGGCTCTAAGGTCTCCCTGGAGCCTTCTCTTCCCCAGGCTGAACCACCCCAGCTCTCTCAGCCTGTTGAGTTACAGCATCCCCCAGGGAGAGCAGCCAACTCCATCCATGCTCAGCAACACGGCAGCTTGGCACCAAGGTGGCCAAGTCTACCCCAGAACAAAGCCCCACCTCTGAAGGAGGCACATGGAGCTTCACCGGGACAAAGGTTTGTCTCAGCTCTCAGAGCATTAACCAGGTCGTTTCCTCCACAGAAATTAAACCTGGTCCTACAGCCAAGGTCCCTCCTCCCCTCCGTGCAGCCGGCACCCAGCCTGGGATGGGGACACCAGAGATGGAAGACGCCACACAATCACCACAGCCAGAGCCCAACGCCACCAAATGAAAGCCCCAACGCTCTGCTCTGCCTGCTGGCAGGCAAAACCACCCCGGGCTTCACAGAGCACCATTAAATGAATGAAAGGTTGCAGGGGTGGGGCAGAGCGAAAACCAGGACCTAATTAAGCAGAGCTTTGTTGAGGAGCTTTAATGGCATCGTAGCTAGGAGCTCTGCTCATGAAAGCAGGGTTTGCACCGCGGGGCCAGGACCCAGCAGGTAACACAAGCCGGACGGACTCGTCAAGAAGCACCACAAGAGCAGCATCGTTTGCAACGGCCTCACTGCTCCTGCCATGAAAACAGGGAGGGGGGCACAGCCCGGCCACAGCGAGGTCTAGACAGCTTCTGTGGTGGACACACGTGGCCCCACGGCCACCTCCCCCAACATCCCCGCTTGTCCCAGCACGCTCATCCCACGAACAGCTTCTCATCACAACCAGACGTCTCTGAACAATGGAACTCCAACAGCCTCTCTGGTTTTTCCTTCTTCTCCCACCCAGGATCCAAATGGAGGGAGAGCAGCAGCACCACCCCCCCCGTGTCCTCTCCTCCCACCCTGCCCCGGACCACGCGCGTGGGACGGCGCAAACATCTGCCAACCTGAGAAGTCTCCGGGCGTGACGTTGGGCGAGTTTGTAGCCTCTGTTTCAGTGTAAGACAACGTGGAATCCGATAGATCTATTAAAAACAGGAAAAAAAAAAAAAAAAAAGAAAAAGCATTTTTAGTCCTCCTGAGTTGGCAAGCGCTACGTGAGCACCCGAGGCTCCTCTGCTTCCCCTCACCAGCCCACCTCTCCCCAGGAGAAACTCTCCACCGGGGCCAGAAAGCAGCGATTAACTTTGTACCTCCACCATGCAAATGCAAAAGGCTGAATTGCTTCGACCACAAAAATAACTGCAGTTAAGTTGATCAAACAAGTAGGAACTTGGTGCTTACTGGATAAAGTTACATTAAGCCTCTAAACAATTCATAGTTACTATACTTAATTATCACCATTAAAATTCTTGAAGCTGTTTATTCTTGCTTCCTTCCTTCCTTCCTCTTTGCTGAAGCGAAGGAAACTTTGTTTTAACAAGTTAAGAGTCTTTGTTATTCTCCTTTGCTTACACCCCTCTAATTAAGTGCTCAACTGTTTGCTCACAGATTAACTATTATTTTTCCAATCAAACAAGCCACTGAAGCAAATTTCAATCCCTGGCTGTTGTTTTAATAAAGTCACGTGTCACTCACTATCATCTCTCCCTGCAGAACAAGCAGTTTCCAAAGGGAATTAACTTGGAAGGGGGGAGCACGGAGAGAAACTCCTTTTTTTTTATTATTTTTTCCTCTCTATACAAAAAAAAATGGTAAAAAAAAAAAAAAAAAAAAAAAAAAAAAAAGAGAGAAACTATGCCTGGCAAATTTTGCTTTGCAAGATGGTTTGGGCTGCAGTGGAGCACTTTGTGGCAGGGAGCTCCCGGGGACTCCCAGGCAGGGCAGGGACTCACCTTTGGCACCGGGCAGCTCCCGCCAGGCTGGGTGGGACGGGCACGCTGTCCCGCTCCTATCGCCCTGGCAAACCCTCCCGTCTCCTCCCTGTCCCTGTCCCTGCCCCACGGGGAGCCAGAGCAGCTCGCCTGGGTCATTACCCCCTCCGTAAATCACAGCCACCGACTAAGGGATAAAGGGAGAAGATCCCAAGCTCCACACGCAGCCCCAACTGCATCCATCCCAGCAAGAAATCCAAGAGGGACGTGGGATTCCTCCCTTCCCTCCCACCTCTTCGCTTCCCCTTCACTTGAGCAAGAAGCAGGCGCTGGGAAAAGACAGCTGGGAGGCAGCAATGCCAATTAAAAGCATCTGCAAGCCAGCGTGCCCCACACAGGACTGGGCCCTGAGGCTGCATCGTGCCAGCCCCTCCAGCAGCCTTCCCCTCAAGCCCAGCCTTCCTCCCCATGCTGCTTTCCCTAGCTTTTCTCAAAAAAAAACCAAAACAAAAAAAGCCTTTATAATTCACCAGCAAAAAGCGAAACCCTCCCTTCCCTCCCACCTCTTCGCTTCCCCTTCACTTGAGCAAGAAGCAGGCGCTGGGAAAAGACAGCTGGGAGGCAGCAATGCCAATTAAAAGCATCTGCAAGCCAGCGTGCCCCACACAGGACCGGGCCCTGAGGCTGCATCATGCCAGGCCCCCCAACAGCCTTCGCCTCATGCCCAGCCTTCCTCCCCAAGCTGCTTTCCCTAGCTTTTCTCAAAAAAAACCAAAAAAAGCCTTTATAATTCACCAACAAAAAGTGAAATGCCACTCAGAAATGATACAGCGCTGAGTTTCCAAGAGTTTACATCTCGTTTTAATGAGCAGAGGAAAGGCAACAGCCGGTTCCTCCGCAGCAGGGCTGTATGGAAATGCTCCCCAGGAGCTCCCACCCCCCCTCTGCTCCGTCACCCCACAGATCACACACGCAGACACAACACGACGGCCCGTAACCTTTCATTAAGCCTTCATTAAAAATAGCGCTTCATATTATTTTGGAAAATATGCATGTGTCTGCACGGCAATTTGGTATGATAAACTGCCATCCATTTACTTCTTAAAACCCATCAGCTGATGCTTGCTCAGAAATAATGAGCAGCCACGAAATCCTGACTTGTTGGCTTCTGCCTGACGTGCCCTGGTGGGATGTCTTAGACCTGAGACCGGGACCGCACCGCGAAGGAGAGCTGCTGGGAGATCAAAAGAGAGAAAATACGTACCCAGTGGCTTTTGCTCATCATTAGGAGACAGCCGAGAGTAGGGAGGTGGTGGAGACTCTGGAAAAACAAAACTTAAGGTTAGTGCCCTGTTGGGTTTATCAACTAAACCCTCCCTCTTTCTCTGTCAGGGTAGGAACTCTTCCAAGAGTTACAAACACCCAACGGAAGCAAACCCACTTGGAAGCAACCTGAGACCAAGAGTTTTCCAAATCTTTGAAGAACCTGGGGGTTCCACCTCGATCTTTCAAAGTGGGCTTTACTCCTGAAAATGCTGCAGTTCTCCCCTACACCCACATCCCTGCCTGAGCCTTTCTCTGTCAGGGTAGGAACTCTTCCAAGGTTATAAACACCCAACGGAAGCAAACCAATTGGAAGCGACGTGAGACCAAGAGTTTTCAAAATCTTTGAAGAACCAGGGGGTTCCACCTTGATCTTTCAAAGTGGGCTTCACTCCTGAAAATGCTGCAGTTCTCCCCTACACCCACATCCCTGCCTGAGCACCCACAACCTGAAGCACCCAGAAGGGCATGCAGCTCCCAAATAATGATGCTTTCATCACCTGGGTCAGGAGACAACCCTCCAACCACGGCTCAAACACACCCAGGGGCTTAACGAGAGCCCTGCAAACACATTAGGAGGGCTGGAAAAGGCTGTTGGGTGATAAAGAGACACCAGGGGGCCAGGCTGGCTCCAGCCAACAAGCCACGGTTACCAAAGGAACGGTGGTCCATCCCAACCAAGCCCTTGGCACAGGAGCAGAGCAGCAGCAGAGGCCTCCTGTGATCTTGCTCAGCCTGACCTGGGGCCAGCAAAGCTCTGAGCACACGCTCAGCTTCAAGTATCAGCACACCAGCAGTCACACACCAGGAGTTAAGCAAGTCCTTAGGAAGTGTCTGCTGAATGGGGTCCTCTAACTGGCTCTGGCTCAAGACCGTGAAAAAGGCTGAAGAAGGTCCTCCATCATCTTCTTGTGTTGGTTAGAGAGGCTTGTTTTTTTTTTTTCCCCTTCTAAATTATGGTAGTTATTTTCTTCTAGAATTACAGCTTGCTAAATGTGATGTATGTGTAGCCAGACCGGCTCCATCACGGCCCTGGCGTGGAGCAGACGGTGACTTCAATGAAAAATTGTTCCAAGAAGTCGGTGGCATCACATTGACCCCACACCACTGAAACAACGGTGTGCTCCTCAGGTCCCACATGGATCCAAAACCAAGGTGCTCACCCCAACACCTGCAGCCGAGGGTTAGTTCATTAACACCACCCTCAGCAACCCCCTGTGTGATGGCTCTGGGGTGGCACGTGGTCATTTTATTGCTTCTGGGAGAGGGTTCCACATCTCCCCTAAGGGAGCAAGCTGCCCGGCGCCACGATGCTCTTCTCAGAGATGCAGCCTCAAAGTCAAAAAATAATGGTGCCAATGTCCCAATTGGGATGTAAGGACCCAATCTGTGCCATCCACAGTGGGCTGGTCCCACAGCAACACCAGACCTGCTGCCAGCAGGGACCTCTTCACAGCACCCAGGTGTTTCCACACCAGGCAGCTATGTCACCCTGCGGTAAAGCGAGGGGACAAAGAGGACCCTGGAGGGTCTCTGCATGGAGCCACTGGTGAAAAAAGGCACCAAGGCCTTCCCTGGGATGCTGTCACCGTCCCCAGAGCCGGGGTGGGGCCCTGGCACAGATACTCACTATCAAATTGATAAGGAAACCCTCGATAACAACTCCACTCCCCAGTGCTGCTCGCCTGGGGCTGGGCAACCACCCATCCCGAGGAAACGGCCACGGCTGCAAGGAGGCAACGTGGAAACTGTGCCCAGTTCTCCTCTGGATGCACACAGAATCACAGAATGGTTAAAGTTGGAAGGAACCTTAAAGATCATCCAGTTCCAACCCCCTGCCCTGGGCAGGGACACCTCCCACCACACCAGGTTGCTCCAAGCCCCCTCCAACCTGCCCTTGAACCCCTCCAGGGATGGGGCAGCCACAGCTTCTCTGGGCAACCTGGGCCAGGCTCTCACCACCCTCACACCAAACAAGTTCTTTCTGGTATTTAATCTAAATCTCCCCTCTTCCAATTTAAAACCGTTACCCCTTGTCCTGTCACTGCACCTCCTGACACAGAGTCCCTCCCCGGCTCTCCTTGCGGCTTTAAGCCGCCGGCGGTAATTGCCCGGCTCCCCGGCCGCTCCGATAACCAGCGAGCCAGGCTGGCGCCAGCAGGACGCAAACTGCATATTATCGCCCCTTCTGCACCTAAATAGCAGGGGGAACCTCCGCGGGGACGGGGCGGGGGGGGTGGAAATAAAAGACCTTTTAAGCACAACCGGGAACCGCTCTGGGCTGAGGAGGGGGGTGGGATGTGACACCCCGGGGGACCTCCGGGCCAGGCGCATCCCCGCCGGGCATCCCCGCTGCCCACGGGGGTTCAAATAAGGCGAGGAAAGGGCCAGAAGCCCCCAAGCTCCCCCTCGATGGGAGGGGGAAGGACCCTAAACACGCACCCGGACCCCAAACTCAACACCCGGACCCCAAACACACACTCGGACCCCCCCCTCAGCTCCTCACCTGGCCCACAGAGGCGGCTGAAGTGGTAGGGGTTGCAGCAGACGGTGGGTCCGTCGGCGACGCCGAAGCTCTGGCACTCGCAGAGGGGTTTGAGCTCGGCGGGGTGCTGCAGGTCGGGCCAGCGGAAGAGTTTGCCCAGCAGCAGGTGGGGGGGCGCCGCCTGACCCCCCAGCCGCACCTCGGTGCGGGCCACCAGCACGCAACCGCTGGGCATGCCCCCGCGGGACTCCACCGCCTCCAGCAGGCTGTCCAGCGAGCGCTCCTTCAGCCGCTTCAGCAGCGAGTAGGTGACGGCCTTCAGCTCCTGCTCCAGCAGCAGCAGCCGCGACCGCGCC